GAGAAAAAAAGAAAAGATGCATTTTAGTTCTTTGATAGTTTAAGTATTCACTCCAAATTTCTATACATTAAATAAGGAATAAAGAAAAGCATTTGAAATGCTGCTAGAAATTGGATTCACACTTAAGAACTTAAGGCTTCAACTGAAATTTTAAATAAAACATAATTAATTTTAAACTAGCAATCTGTGTATTTCTAGAGCTTCTATGCTAGAAATACTTGTTTCAAAAAGCAATCATAATAATAGATGAATAAGGCCCCAAATATATATTTCATACTGTGTCCCTTAATATGTGCTTTCTTAATATGTACATGATTCTACAATATTTCTATTTTCTCCTAAACTGAGTTATATTTAAAATAATAGAATATTATTTCCTATTCTAGAGACATTAGAAACACAATAATAATGAAATTCAGACATTTTACATTTGTAAATTAAGTCATACTCTGAATTCTATATGTGATTTTATTTACTTACCTGGATAACTCTTCCCCTAAACTCTGCAAACTCCATTCTGTTATTTTTAGTTCATGTCTTAAGGAAGCAACATTTGCAAGCAAACTTTCTTCTTCATTGTCTTTCTTATAGTAGTTTGATGTATTAGATTCCATTTATTTCTTAAAAAAAAAGAAATGACTTTCTCGTACCTTGCCAAAAAGAACCTGTGGTGTCAATCAAAATACTCTCATATTAATGGAGTTTAATTATTTTTCTATTTCTGAAGTTGTGAAAGCTTTCATGGTAATTTAAAACAAATTAAAACAAAAAAAAACATTTAATTTCTCTGAAGTGTAAAGCTGTAATGGAAAGTTCTATAGAATTTAAATGAATCAATTTTCATTAGAGCCAGGGTCTAGTCATTATAGATCCCCTAGTCTAAACAATTGTGTGAACTCAGTATTTTTATTCCATGTTAAAAATGAAGAAAATAAGAATAAGACAGATTTGCCGAAACCGGTTTGGCTCAGTGGATAGAGCGTCGGCCTGCAGACTGAAAGGTCCCAGGTTCGATTCCGGTCAAGGGCATGTACCTGATTTGCGGGCACATCCCCAGTAGGAGATGTGCAGGAGGCAGCTGATCGATGTTTCTCTCTCATCGATGTTTCTAACTCTCTATCTCTCTCCCTTCCTCTCTGTAAAAAATCAATAAAATATATTAAAAAAAAAAAAAAGAATAAGACAGATTAGCCCTAACCGGTTTGGCTCAGTGGATAGAGCGTCGGCCTGCGGACTGAAAGGTCCCGGGTTCGATTCTGGTCAAGGGCGTGTACCTTGGTTGTGGGCACATCCCCAGTTGGGGGCGTGCAGGAGGCAGCTGATCGATGTTTCTCTCTCATCGATGTTTCTAACTCTCTATCCCTCTCCCTTCCTCTCTGTAAAAAAATCAATAAAATAAATTTTTTAAAAAAAGAATAAGACAGATTAAATAATATACTCAAGGTCACACAAACAGTAAATAATGGAACCAAGATTTGAACCTAAGTCCTCAGGATCCAAAGACCTTTTAATTGTCACCCTGCAATTTTCTTATTATATATCAATTTCAATATGAGGTATTTGAAGTTACATTTCAAGCTCTGGATATCTGATAAAATTGGTATCATTACAGTCATTCATATTTTCTGAAAGGCAATTTATTACCAAATAAAGATGATCTGCTTCTCCCATTCACAATGGTTATAAATTTTTAAAAGCACACACATTCACATCACAACCACAGAGATCAAAATGATCTTTGGTGGGTTAACTCATGGAAATCTATCCTATATAATAAAGAGGTAATATGCAAATTGACTATCACTCCAACACACAAGATAGCTGCCCCCCTGTGGTCACAAGATGGCCAGCAGGAGAGGGCAGCTGGGGGGGACCAGGCCTGCAGGGGAGGGCAATTGCGGGGGGACCAGGCCAGCAGGGGAGCAGTTAGGCATCAACCAGGCTGGCAAGGAAGGGCAGTTAGGGGTGACCGGGCCAGCAGGGGAGCAGTTAGGCATCAATCAGGCTGGCAGGGGAGTGGTTAGGGGCAATCAGGCAGGCAAGAAGGCAAGCCGTTGGGAGCCAGCAGTCCTGGATTGTGAGAGGGATGTCTGACTGCCTGTTTAGGCCCGATCCCACCAGGATCGAGCTAGTGGGATCGGGCCTAAACAGGCAGTCAGACACCCCTCGAGGGGTCCCAGATTGAAGAAGGTGCAGGCTGGGCTGAGGGACACACACCCCCTATCCCCCTGTGCACGGATTTCGTGCACTGGGCCTCTAGAGTGTGTGTGTGTGTGTGTGTGTGTGTGTGTGTATAATATGCAAATATGGCCAGGATGCCGTAACAGGACACGACTAGACAGGAGGAGGCTATGCGCGCAGGTGAGGCCCGGAGTGGAGACAGAGACAGAGACGGGGGAGCCAGCCCGCACCCTCCACGGTCGAGCAAAGGCCTGGAGAGGAGATGGCAGGCCCGTCACCCATGGAAGGAGCACGGCTCCCTCCCGCCTCCCACGGAATTGGCGCGGGTCCCTCCCGGTTCCTGTGGAAGCGGCGCGGCTCCCTCTCAGCTCCCGTGGGTGCCGGCGGCTCGCTTCCGCCTCCCCTGGAAGCCGCACAGCTCTCATAGAAGCAGCATGGATCCCGGCGGCACACTGCAGTTCCCGCTGGCTCCCGTGGAAGCGGCGGGCGGCCTACTGTGCACGATATCATGCGATGGGCTACTAGTCTATATAATAAAAGCCTAAGCGACCATTACAGCTGAATGACCAGAACAACTGGTTGCTATGATGTGCACTGACCACCAGGGGGCAGACGCTCAACACAGGGACTGCTCCCTGGTGGTCAGTGCGCTCCCACAGGGGGATCGCCGCTCAGCCAGAAGCCGGGCTCACAGTGGCGAGCACAGCAGCGGTGGCAGGACCTCTCCCACCTCCACAGTAACACTAAGGAGCAGCGAGCAGGCGGGCAGTAAGGAGCAAGGGCTCCCAGACTGTGAGAGGGGTGTCTGACTGCTGGGAGCTGGCCTAAGCCGGCAGGCAGACATCCCCCAAGGGGTCCCGGATGGCGAGAGGGTGCAGGCTAGACTGAGGGACCTCCCCCCAACAAGTGCGGAAATTTCATGCACCGGGCCTCTAGTATATGAAGAAAAGCTTTTGTTTCTTCAACTTAAGTGTATTTCTAGGGTTATGAAATTCTCTACTAACTATCTTTGCACATAAAAATCGTGATAAGGGGCCACATTTTATTATTAAAAATTAATACATATAATTAAACATTAAAATACATGTTCATAATTAATACAATTAAATGAAAACTTTATAATCTCTATTACTCCTAGCTCTTTCTGCATAATCTTAAAATAACATTCCTCTTTCGGATCCCATTTACCTTTAGCATTGTAGCATCCCTCTTTCATCACCCTTCTAGAATTCTGA